CAGTGATGGTCCACGATTCATGACCGTAGGTAAGTATGGGGATAAAAATCGACTTGAATATTGAGAGCTCAGTTTTCAGTATGAGCTCTGCTTTAGTCACAATGGGTCACGCTAGTTCACGCCAAACGCCACTGGTTACTCCAATTTGCCGGTCGATCTCTTCTTCCAACTTTCCATCACTAGTAAATGCAGTTCCGAGGTACTTGAACTTCGTAGTTGTAAACTTTTATATTTATTTAACAACACATTAAGCTGCCCATAGTATATTCAAATTTAATACGCATAATTCACTTATTTTATAATAATAATTTGACTGAAATGTATCTGTTTCCTTCCAATGTTGGTGAATGCGCCATACGGTAGGCAGCTGATATTCAAGGGGTAGAATTTCGGAACGTTTTTCAAATAAGCAACACCTATTGCAAGAATTTTATTTAAAAGTTTTTTATGCTGCCAAGATAGCAACCAATTTGAACCATCGCCAAGAGCCCATTCCTTGCATCATTAGTTGTTTCAAATAAGCGATTATTAATCGTGTATTTCAGTTTTTCACAAACGCTTCCATGATAGCTGCTTATCAAGCGTACTGTATTAACTACAAAGCGATAATGGTATGTGCAAGTACTGTTTCATCTTCATAACCTTGCAGTCTTATCGCTTTTAGGAATACCTGGAAAACAGCCGAAAGAGCGACGACCGTTTCAACGTTTATGAAAAAGTAATTGGTTTTCGTTTAAAGTAAATTAATCAGTAGATTATTTAGGTGTGTACCAGTGACAGCAGATGCAACCGTTTGCAACTAGAAGATTTGCTAATTTCGCCACTACAACGAATCACTCGTCTACCGATTTACATGAAGGAGATACTAAAGTTTACGGAAACTGAAAAAGAAAAAGAATTACTCACGGAAATTATGGAAAAAGTTGAGGAAACTTTACGTATGTGATTTTCGTTGCAGCTTTTTTACCGAAAACGACTCTGAAGAATTCGTCCAACTACAGAACAAGTTGATAAATTCAATTGTTATAATTGCCTACAGAAGTTTTGACAGTAATGGGTATGCTTTCTAAACTAAGTTGTCAATCGATTATGGTACTGGTTTTAGTGTAAAATTTATATATTTGTATGCATTAAGATAGATATCTTGAATGATTCTACGATTGCTGTAAATACGGTATGAGGGAAGAGAAAAAAGGAATGCATATAAATAGGGCCATCAGCCAGAAGTACTTTTCTCAAAAGCAGAGGTCAGCAGCAGCTGTATGGCAAGCATAATGTACTGTTATCCGTTTTTTTCCACAGATTGGTATTAATTGT